ATGTAGTGAAAGGCCCTCATAGCCATTGGGAGAGGATTAGAAGTTCTCTGTGGTTACAGCTTTTCCAGGGGTTTGGGAACTCAGGATAGCACACTCCCACTTAGGCAGTGGGCTGGCAGGAGACCAATAATTTAAAAACAGAGCTTTGCATTTTGTTTTTCAGAGATAAGCAGGATGCAGAGCATGCAAGAGCAAGGGAAAGAGTTGCAGATCTTTGATCCTTAGAAATACTGGTACATAGRTCCTCATCTGAATGACTTGTCATCTCTCAGCAATACCTAGAATTGCTCCTACAATTTTGGTTTTCCATYCTGYAGCTGTGTGGCTTCTCCATCAGTGRTACGTATAGCCATTGTTTAATGGGATTATTGTCCTGGAAMAGTATAATTTAAGCTCTTCTTTAGAAGGGGCATGTGAATGATTTATCTACCTCATCTGCATTAGTCATGTTTGCCGGGGATATGCAACCCTTAAGTGGGTCACTTGGAGCAGAAGTGCACTGCGCTTAGGTAGGTAAAGTCATGACATCCACCACACACTCAAGGGCCCTTCCAGTTCCTTCCTTCCATCTTTGGCTGCCTATCTCTGCCTCCACTGGTGGGAGATGGCAACAGCTCCTGCGCTCCCGGGACGGGTATCTGTAAGGGTATATGCTCTGCAGTACAGCCTTCCTGGGCAAACTGGCTCCTTCTTGATGGAAGCAGAAATTCTGCTTGCAGCCTTGTAAACTGCAGCTTTACACTGYTTTTACTGCTGTTTCCTTCCATGTTTTGTGGGAATTGGTGGTGCTCGGAAGTGCCTCAGGTAGCCTACCAATGACCACTGAGTTATCCTGGGGGCTGGGGTAAGTGTGTATGGGGGAGTTTAGCTTTGCAGAGAACGTATCCCTTTCTTAATGTCATGGTTATGATATGCTTTTAGAGTACTCCTCCTCAGGGCTCCAGACCTTGCATTGCATCAGTACTTGGCATTCAGAATAATCCCTGTGAAGCACAGGTGACATTTTGGGTGCCATAAATGACATGGTGTGGTGAAAAATACATCAAGGCAAATGATAATCTATGGTCTCTTCAGGAAAGCCCCAAGGATGTTTTGGGTAGGAAGAATGCCATGTTGGCAGGGTTCTCCAAAGGGAAAGGAAGAGGCAGCTGAGGGGAATGAGATTACCTACTTGGTCTTGATTTTCCTTTGGCCTATCATTCCTTATTCCGCATTTAGTCAACAGCAGACCACTTTCAGGGCAGGTTTTCTTTTGCCATTGCAGAGCATACTCTAGAAGTACAAGTCCTTCTAGTCGCTTCATAAGGATGGCATTGGACCCAGAGCCCTCAGCAGGAAGAGACCACAAGGATCATCAGACTGAACCTCTCACAAGGATTTTCTGGATTACAGCTCAAGTTGACTTTACATCAAAGGTAAAGCTAGTAGATCAACCTAGAGAGTGAGATTTTTGCTTGTGGGGGATCTTACTGAAGGTCACACAAGGACTATGAAGAGGCCAACAAGTCTTGCTTGGTCTGAAAGAAGAAGACACTGTGCAGGGGAAGTGTAGTCGCTCCTCTTTGGTGATTCGCATAGTTCATGGACAAAGTGATGTTTGGGATAGAGATGGTCTTAGGTCCCTAAGGATAATGAACCTCATGGGAATTCAAAGGAGAAGCACAGGTTGCAGAAAGGCTCAGGAAACTCAGGCAAGTATTAATGACCAGCTATTTAGAGTCCTATGTAAGTATTTATAGTGACGGTATCACAAAACATAATGCTGATGATTAAAGGATGGTCAAGCTCACRTTATTGCAGCACACGTTGTATAGGTTGTAAAAAGGATCAAAAAGAGGAAAAGTATTACGGCTAAGAAATTTCTGACTGCTGACTTTGTTAATGTTCTCATTAGCACCTTTTCAATTATTAATTGTTCTGGCTGCTGCAGTTTTTACTGACCCATATTAGTCCTGCTGAAGAGCAAGAAATGCCAACATGAGGCTTCATGGCCTTGTCTTTCATATCCTACAGCTGGTCAGGAATTTTCCAATGAAACAGCTGTTCATTGCAAGATACACTCCAAAACCACTGCTTTTGGTGGAAATTTACCCATTTCATTAGTATCTATTGAGAAAGTATTTTCAGATTGATCACGGCCTTTCTATAGCTAACATCCATGAGGAGGGTTGTCCCTTAGAACATGAGTTAAACACGTCTTTTTTCTTTTTAATAATTCATACAAAGAGAAAGAGAGGAGACTAAGGAACAGAGAGCACCTTCTAGTGTGACAGGCTGCAATAGGCACTTGGGTTATAAGATATGAGACTCTCAGCTTCAAGACCATTTTGCCTACTCTGAGTTTATACAATGAAAATAGTAAGATCCCATCTTTACGGGAATGTAAAAATACATGAGATGACAGTGGCATTTTTTCTTTTCTGCGGTGAGACCTAAAAATCAATAACAGCTTGAGACAGTGAACTCAAATCTTTACAGAACAATGGGGAAATAGTATCTGCTTTTGTTATATATGACTCTTTAATGTTTCAAATATTTTGTAAGAGTCACAACTAGAGGAGAAGACTCAGAGGAGAAGAAGTGATCAACCTTAAGACGTTATCATTACAATCATAAATTGCATTAAGTCGGTTTTATTTGGAATGCAAAAGATTCTTATTTTCAAAATACTTAAAAAATGCAGCTATGTCATCCTCTTCCCAAAATCCCACTGAATTATAGTAAATATAGGGATAATATATAGATCTCCTGGGTCACACTAAGATGCTTTCTCATTAAAGAAATTTTAAAGAATTTTATTTCTTTTTTTTTTTTTCTCTTCTATGCTTCTGTCTATGTCAAAGCTCTTTCTTCATACCAAAAGAGTCTGCAACAAAGAGTTATGACCATGTAATGAATGGTTGTATTTAAATGTACATATGCTGGGAATGTCTTCTGGAAGGTAGTGTACCCGCTGAGTCTTGAGGTACAAGATGTTACTGACTCAGGCTTTGCTACCATGAGATTGCTCATCTCCTTTGCATTTAKGGTAAACACGGGTCTTTGGCAGGGCCACAGGAACAAAAAGCAGCTGTTCCTTCTTTTGAGAGAAAAAACAAAGAAAAAGAACAGCGAGGAAATGTCTAGCATGTGAGTAACAACAAGAATGAAGTGGAATGAGGTATGAAAGCACGAGGAAAGAGACTTGAGTGGGATGGCAGAGCAAGAGCCCTTTGGGATAGGGTGTCCCTGCCCTGAAAACCATTATCCTCARCCCTAACACAGAAATCTGAAGGTCAGTCTGGCGTAAATCCTCTCCCAGGCACTTCAGGGAGACAGTAAAAGGACTGAGCTCAAGGGAAAACATAACTTGTTTTCTAGAAGCAGGAGCAGATGCTACCTTCTTTTTGAATTTAGTTACTATTCATTTTTTTTTAAATTTAATTTGGTTTGATTTAAGGAGAGTTCAGAAAGCCAAGCTGCTAAACCTCCTAAGTAATTCAGGTTTGAACTCAGTAGCTTTTGAAAAATAAAAAAATAAGGATTTGTGAGGTAAGAAAAAAACTGGAGTAGCTGAAATAAAATAGYTGCTCCTTCTCTCAAGTCAATAAAATAGGGAGATGATTAAATGGAATGATCATSCCTCTTAACTCCCATAGGATGGTGCTTCTGCATGCACCTGCATGTGGGAAGCCCCACACTTACCTTTGAGACAAGGATATTCACCTGTGCTTCTCAGTTCTCTTTTGTTCCTTGAAAATGAAGCTGAATCAAGCTCTGCTGTATGATCAGCCATAGTCATATGTTTTTTGAGCCTTGAGTTCTGGGAAATCTCCTCAGTTTCCAGGTTTTTGCATGTGTTCCTTTTTCTACAGCAGCATATGCCCGTRGGAAAGCCCTTCTACTGGGGGGACCCACACTTCTAGTGCCCTGCACAGGAGAACCTTTCTTGCAAGACGGAGTTTCAGCAAGGTGAGTTGGATTAATAATAGTTCCCTGTGGAAGTTACAAATAGCCCTAAGCAGGGAAGATTTTTTTGCCTTTTGTTCTATTCAACTTCAGAGGTTCTAAAGCAATATTAATCTTTAAAGCTGTGTAATGTGCAGACCAACATTTATTTGAATGTGAAAAAAGCACCACTATCTGTTCCTTTTGCAAAATACATGTAACCATTTTCTGTGTGGGGTTTTTTTTTTTTCATAATGGAAAAGTGTGTTTTCCCAGAGTCATTTGAGGTGCAGACCGTGCTGAATTTTGCAGAGATAACAGGCAGAATGCAATTTTACCAGACAAGCAACTTGTTGGGCTATGGCTTTTCCAGCTTAGCATCACTTAGCAGCAATATTTTCAGGTGAGAGACACAGAGGAGAGAAAAAAGTTAAGCCATGTATTTTTAATTAAAAAATGTGCTATGTCATGGGTTAGGTGCAATATTCTTTTGAGTTATTTTAATTTTTGTTTGCAGGATCCCAAACATTAAGGAAATRTAAGGAAATCAGGATTAGGAGCTCTTTGCCTGCCTGCCTGCCCGCCTGTCTCCTGCGTGTGCCATTCCTCCCACTCCGCATAGCACAAGGCAGGGGTGGGCTGCAGCTGAAGCTGAGAGAAAAATGGAGCACTTACAACTAACACAGTTACTACCAGCTTTGCAAATTGGAGCAAAACCCCCGGAATTGCTGCACACGCACACTCAGGGTAACAGCAAGGCGGCGGATCCCCCTCCCTCACACCACCTAGCAAACACTCCAGGCAGAAGAGCTTTGCAACGAGCTCGTTTTGACACAGCATTCAGTGAGAGAGACCTCAGTTACAGCGAGTCCATAGGAAACCCAGTGCTGAACAGTACTCTCGGTAGCCACCTTCAAATTGGCATCATCATAGGAAAAGATGTAGTGGATGGTGCTGATAGGGTAACTCCGTACTATTGATGACCATGATTGATATCAACTTTTTTTTTTTCCCTTCCAAATTTCTCCCTTGTTTCCTACCTCCCTCCTTTTTCTCCCCTCTCACTGCTCAGCACACACACCACCATTCAAGAGAAGTTTTGGCAAGATTTAGCCATGGGCTCTAATGGCAGAGAGGCAACAGCCAGAGCCTTTGCGGGCAGAAAGACATGGGTGAGTATTTCAGCAGTGGGACTCAGGTAACTGGGATTTGGTTCTGAATTCCGCATGCTCCATGCAGCATGCTCTGCGTGCTCCTCACTTCTGTTCTTCCTCTCCATAACGGGGATTATTGAGTTTCCTTCTCTTCATGCAGACTATGAAGGCTGGGCTGTCTCTATATGCCAAGGAGAGCTCTGATCTCCCATGGGCATGGTCAGAAACCCTTTCCAGGTTTCCTCTGGAGCAAGAGCAAGGTGGATCATGTCATCTCAGCCAAGGGCTCCTAGCATGGACTCAACCTGGGTCCGCAGCCCTTCTGCAGCCCAGGCTCTGACTCGGGAAGCACCATCCAAATGGGAACTCCCAGGCCCATCTCTTTTTCCCTGTGTATGGGCATCATATGCCTCTCATTTCCTGTGCCAGCACAAGGACACCGGTCACATGTTGCATGCTGTTGCTGTAAATTATTAGTTATTGCAAGCAAGCAAACTACCTTTAAAAAACTGTCTTGCTTGTTGGCTTCTTTTAATTCATAACAAATTACTACAAATTCCTGCTCAAATGATGCCTAAAATCCCATAATTTCAGCTCTGAGCACCCAGCCCTTGTAGCACTTGTGGAGATCACTCTGCCCCTCTTTCCTTTTGGGCTACTCTTTCCATGTACATGCTCAGACAGGAGGAAAAATGTTCACAGTGCCTTGATCTGTTTATTTATAACTTGCAGGGGAAGCTTGGATGGCAGCATCCCAGTCACATCTCATAAGCTCTTAAAAAAAAAAAAAACTATGGAGTGCTATTTTTAATTTAAACAAATAAACTGTGCTAGAATCGCTTTGCCAGTTTACTTTCCTGCCTGATTTGGAAAAAAAAAAAAAAAAAGACAAATTATTCCGTTAGTAGCACCATGCCTCTCCTATTTAGAATTGTTCTTGAATGGAAGTTCATGCTGAAAAGGCTGTAATTTTTGCGTGCTGATGGGAAGCAGAGATACCAGTTTCACATTTAGCTCTCCTCCCCGCCGCCCCCGTTCGTGTTTTCGGGGGAATCCGGAGCGCAGGGAAGGTGGCAGCCTGGGGAACTCRCAGGCTCCGTCTATCCGTTTATGATAAAGGAGCTGTGAGCTGCGCCGCTGCTCGAGGGGCAGTGCGAGGGCGAGAGGCCGCTCGTGCTTCAGAGCCTTAATTCTGCTGCTACCAACAGCAGCAAGTCGCTGGCTTCATGTTGCTCCCTCAGGTGCTGGGGAGGAGGAGCGCCTGCTGCGCGGGCACTGGCGACATGAGGGGAAAAAATGGAATTTTATCTTCTTCCCAGCAGTTTTGTTTTCAAAAGGAGCTGGCAAACCAGTGCTGCTGCCYCTCGCTCCGTGTATACATTGAACTCGGCGTGGGGCAGCTGCGCGTGGGAGGGAAAGGGCCGCAGCGCGTGGCCTGCGACCGGGGCAGGAACACACGCCGAGGGATGAAAGATTTAGAGCGACCCAACACTATCAGCCTGCAAATATCTGGCTGGAAGGGTTGACACCGCTCCAACATTTCTGCAAAGAAAGGGCCAGCTCATTTAGACATAGTCCATATTTTTTTAGTTCCTTTTTTTTTTTTCTCTGCACAGCACATTGTAAGTGGAGTCTGTCCTCTGGCTTGCTCTAATCCTTGCTGCATTAAAAATGTATCCTGTTCTGCTGCACTGCTGCAGTTCTTGGTGTGAAACACGACAACACAGCTGGCAGGTTGTTACTAACGTARCCCATGCCATGTGTCCTGATAGGAACTTCTCATAGATGTCTATAGCACTAGGTGCGAAAATAATTAGTTTAAGGCAGGCGGGGTGATGAACACCATGGTTCAGCAGCTTTTCAAGTAATCTGCAGTAATTTTGTAGGGTTTTTAGTGATTTTTTTTCCTGATCTCTCAACCTGTTTCAGTGAAGAACAGACTCGTGGATTTGGGGGTGTTCTTTTCTTTGTTTTTGCCTTTGATTTGTTTCCTGAATGTTTATTTTGTAGAGCCATTCAATTTTTTAACATTTGCCTGGGGTGGAAAAAAAAAACAAAAAGGCTTTAAATGCTGTCTGGACAAAACACTAGAACGTAAACAGGAAAGATCCTTCAGAATACGACCCAAAAGATTCACTGGACTTGGTCWTGTCCCTTTTTCTTCTGAGCCATCTTGAAGAGGACACTGCTATTTGGGGTTAGTTGTATGAAGCATCCCAAGCCATCATCCATTTCCATGTCATTGTATGGTCAAGATTCAGACCAAGCAACCAAGCAAACTGTGTCTTAGTTCATGTTGTGCTCTCTTTTCTTTCCAGAATTTGCTCTTGTCTCTGTGTCTACACGCCTGGCCGTGTATGGAAACACAAGAGGCAGCAGGTCTTCCTTGTCATGCAGCTGGTGAATGTGGCCTCTCAGTAAAATCTTGGCAGCGCTGTCAAAAGCAGCCAGGTCTCTGCATCAACCTCTTGTGCTCCATTCACTTCTTCCCTAAGACTGTGGTGCCCTGGTGTCCTAGTGGGAAACCCTACAGGAGAGGAAGGAGCTTCACCTCAATGGGCTCTGCTGAGGACGGGTTTTTCCCAGCTGCAGTTTGTGTCTTGCCGTCTCGAGCGCATTCTGAAAAACTAGATCTTTGCCTGCTAAACTGCCTTCCCTTTGATTCTGACCTAGATCTTTCCAACCCGTCTTAGCTGTGAGGCTAAACGGGACRCAGCAAAACCCACCTCGCCTTGGCCCCTGCTCCTCACCCTGCGGAGCCGCTGCCGAGGGGGAGCTGGGGGCAGCCCCCTGCCCAGGCGCCACGGGCTCCGCTCCATCCGCTGCTGGCCACGGGCTTCTCTGCACTTGCAGCAGCAGGTCCTGACAGAGATGCTAAAAAAAAATAAAATTATATTAAAAAAAAGGCAAGAATCTGTATTCTATAATATATGAACTTGTGCTTGGGCATAACTTCATTGCGAGATTCCTCTGTGCAAGAGGGCATCCCCCCTATAATCCAGTGATACGTTCTGGGTCAGAGATTCACAGTGGGATACTGGTTGAAGACAAAAGCCCAWGTTTCTATTGTTGTGTGTTGCAAGAATATGGCTTCAGAAATGCAGTGAATTAGGTGGAGCAGAGGATGCTGGTGCCTTCCCAAGCAGGGAGCTCCCCTGCACTGTGTGAGGACCACACGGGGACGAGGCTGCAAAGAGACACCWGGTGAAACCTCACCTGGCTGAAGAAGATGGGAGTTTTCCATCCCAATCAGCAGTTTTCCACTGCAGCTGGAGTCATTTTGGTGTCAAGGTGGAAGCAGCATTTCATTCCCACTTCCAGCACTGTAGCCAAACAGTGAGCAGTGCCCTGTAGCAGAGGCAGGGCCTTGAGGACAGGACAAGAAGATGTCATTCCCAGCTCTGCTCCAGACTAGTTGCACAGCCCTGACACAAACTTGGCACTGAGACTTCCAGCGCCTGCACCAGAGAGAAGCCAATGCAGAGATGGAGCTGAGGAGAGGCAGCTGCAAGGAACGAGACCAAGGCAAGGGGTCGGCTTGAGAAGAGATGATAGGTCTGGTATGAGGGGTTTCTGTGAAGGAGAATCAAGCACCAGGCTGTTTGTGTCACACAGCCAGGTCACAGCTGGCCCAGGCAGATAGAAAGACATGAGGAGAGCTGTAATTCCCCCCTCAAGTCCAACAAAAGCTGTGCCCACCTCCAGCTGCAAGGCCCCGCCAGGTATGGAGAGCCCTTCCATGGCCGGCAGCAGRTAGGCGGGCATGTGGAAAGGATTATCCTTCTGTATTTTGCAGCATTGCCAAGAGTAAGGTCAAGGGAAGGACGGCAGGTACCAGGTCATTTTGGTTGTTAAATAAACAATGTTTGTTTTTTCCTTCCTTCTCAGTTACAAGAAAATGTGCAATGAAAGTCATTCCCATGTAAGTGTGTATGCCTATAGTAAGACTGGAAGTGCTGAAGTAAACCTCTGATTTCTACAAAATCGTGGTAAAATCATATTCCTTATCTGGCTGCAAGAGGCTGTAGGGAAAGGAATAGCACAGTTCTGCTCCAGCTGAACAAAGGAGAATCAGAAGATGCTTGTTGAAATATCTTTCCCTCATGTTTATTATGCTCTCAGAAGGAGGAAAAAAAAACAAAGAAAAATATGAGAAGAGGCTGAGCAGAAATGTAGCTATTTCCATTTCACTAACCATGATGAATTTTGAAAAGATGTTTTATCTTCATAGCAAGACGAAATTACAGACAGAATGACAGATGGATTCTCGGCTGAGCACAAGGCTGCAAATCATTTAAACGGCTCCACTAACATCAGACTGCAGGGGTGATACCAGTTTAGAAATTTAGAAACATTTCCACCCAAACACCATGTATTCATTAGTCTGCATAAGAGCACAGTTTGGTGAAATGCCTTTTCTCCATTGATGACCATGCATGCCATGGTCATCTCCATCGATGGTGAAATATCCTTCAGCAAACAAAATCCTGCAGAGCTCACAGTGGTTCCCCCTTATGTGGTCTGTCCAGTCAGTGCTTTCCCAGCTCTCTGACTGAATCTCCTGCCTAGACCTTGCAGCTTCTTTTCCACTTTGGAGAAAAGGATGTTGGGCTGGGTAATGAACATGCAGGCTCAATGTAACACATTACTCCTAACCCATAAGGCATTAACCTAGGTAGCGTCCAAAACTAGAGAGAAACTGGGGTCTTCCTCGCCACAACCTTCACCCCTCCTTTGGAAGGGCCCTGTGGTCATGTCTTGCCATCAGTCCCACCAGCAGCCTGCTTCTCCATGCCCCTCTTCYTGCTGTTTTGTTCTTACCTATTTCAAAGCCTGGAAATTAGCTCATCTGGCAGTTAATCCTGAAGCTGCCATAGCTGTGGCACCTGAACACGGTCACTGCAGGTGCCTGTGTGTCCAGGAGACCCCCAGACTGGAGAAAAGCCCCAGCACTGGACGTGGTGACACACAACCTGGGCTGGCACCAGCTCTGCCCATGTCCCTGTTCCCTACTGCTGGTCATGGACATGCCCTGCAATGCCCCACACCCCGCTTCGGGATGCAAAGGGTGAATCCTGGGGGTGAATCCCGGGAAGCGCCGAAGTAACGTTGCTGGAAACCAGCCAGCCTTTCCTCTGCAGGTCCCCGTGCCTCCTGCTGAAACACGAGGCAGTCTGAATGTCTTCTCTGTACCGCACTGATATCCCCCGAGACCAGATCAGAAAGCACGGTGACTGCCTCCTGTCTCCAAAACGGAGCTGGAAAGAGGCCTGCTTTGCTCCCTGTCCCATGGCAAGAGCCCTCCTTGCCATGCAGGGGCATGGGGACAAGTGAAGAAGTGGAGGTAGCACAAAAATGCCCTGGTTTTGAAGCACCAGTTCAAGCAACAAGGCCAGGCTGACAAAGATGCTATTTTAAGAAATCAGTTCAGCTCTGTTTTCAGGTTCTTAGATATTCCAGATGAAAAAGACCTCTTAGGTCATTTGCTCATCCTTCCTGCCAAGAGAGGATTRCTGTAGCCTTTGGTATCTGGGTCCGTGTCCATTTTTCCACATGCTTTCAGTGAAGCCGCATAGGGACGTTGCYGGCGGCTTGCTCCTTCCTTGCTGCTTGTGAAAGGTGCCGCCGCTAGCGGCGCCTGGGTTGCACCCACCACCTTCCCTGCAAAACATGTCCCTCTTCTGATGGTGGCACTGGGTATGCAGGCTGCTCTGTTGATTTGGTTAGCCGGGAGAAATACCCAGAACTTCGAATTCCCTCCCTGCRTCTGATGAGGAAGCATCTGTCTGGTCCCCGTGTACCTAAATATTGTTGCCTGTTTGATGAGCCTTAAATAGCTTTTAGGGGGGAGGCGGGCAGAGCTCCGAYCGCAGAGCTGAGCACTTTGCCAGGCAGATCCTGGGTCAGGAGCAGCCAGACACACGCTGGCTGCTGGTGGGTTCACTGGTACCGTGGTGCCCCGGGGCGACCCAACCGAGAGCACAAGGGTTAACGCTCAGCACCGCTCGAGAGGAGGAGTGTGCCCCATACCACGCATTTCTTCACTTTCATTCCTGAGTCTTGCTTTCTTASGCTGTTTTTCTTCCCTTGCTGGCAACAAATTTCTCTTCCGCATTCCTCTAGTGTTTGTGCAGCGCAAGAAGCCACCAGCTCCTGACAGAGGTCACAGGAAAACTCATTAAACGCATGGCCTCCCGCCACCCCTGCAAATTAAATGCAGATTCATTCACTTCTCATAACACTTGCAAAGTTTTACAAGGCCTCTCCCCACGATGCTGCTGTCAGTTAAGCACCATGGCAAGAATCCCATAAAASAGGGAGCTGGAGAGCGGCGGGCGCGTTCCTTCTTGGCGGATTCGCGGCGTCACGGATGCGTGTTTGTTTACACTGATCCTGGCGCTTCCCAAGGGCTCTGCGGATTCAGCGTTTCTGCAGGGCTGCCTGTGCCCAGCTCGGAGCAAGAAGTAACCTGTAATCCGGATCTCCTTTTTTTTTTTCAAAGGACAAAAACCTCTTTTCTTTAATGAAATATTCATTTCAAGTCCCACTAGATTTATTTAGCTAGCTGAGCTAACACCAAAGTGGATAGAGCCCCCATTTCATCTCCAAACATTCACAGCTGAAGTATGCGAAGTGTCAATCTCCATTTATAAGGGTATTAATAATTATATTTACATTCAGTGTTGCCATGGAGCCCGAATTGTACATAATGTTGATCTCATATTAAGATGGCTGATACAGCATTAGTAATCAGGGCTATAATACATTCCCATCCCCACGATAATACACAAAGATTCCTTTAGGAAAATACCTGCTTAGGGCATGAATATTTATGACAGAATTTCACCATTTCTTTTATATGTAATTACTTGGGAAAAGAGATGTCCGATGATGCTTTTGGGATGACTAAGCAGAATTGGCCTGTGGCCATATAAGTGCCAGTCTAAGTGCTTTTAAACTATAAATTTGGGGTTAAAAAGCAAACAAACAACAACAAAAACACTGAATTGGGGTTTGCCCTTTTGTTCTGCCCGGTGTAAGGAACGCGCCTGTTCTTGGATCAGCCCCTCAGCAGAGGCCCTGGCCCAGCACGAGGCAGGGCCGGCTGGAGGCGGCTCCTCCGCAGCCTGCCAGGCCTTGCGGGTGTTGAGGGCAGCGGCGTGGGGGAATCGGGAGGCCGGGGGAGCTGAAACGGCAGAAAGGGAGTTGCAGGGCCTCGTACTGAAGGGTAATGAAAGGATAAACTGGGAGCTCAGCAGTGGAAACTGCAGAGGAGGAGAAACACTCGATACAGCGGCCAGACTCAGGCTGACTGTGCTGGCACTGCGGTGCGTGCCGGTGATCACAGGAGAAGGGTGTTTCCAGACACCCTTCCAGTTTCCAGTCAGGGACACCTAAGACAGCAATGATGCTAAAGTAATATAATAGTTTGATGCTATAATTATTCATATTTTAAGTGTTGCAGGTTATTGACACACCTGGATTGGAAATAAAGGGAGGTTCCCCACCGTTGGCGCCCTGAGGKGCTGGGGCACCGCAGGCATCGCAGAGCAAACGGGGGGGTTTGCCTTGCCCCTGCCTTGTCCTGCCTTGGCTGCTCCGTGAGCTGCTCCTTCCCGCCTCGTGCCTGGGCTCGCTGCCCGGGATCTGTCTCACCAGCCTTTGAGGACTCCCCGGCAGGAGACCCTGCTGCACAGGCTGCCATCGAGGCTTGCTCCAGAGCAAGAGGGGCTGGCGTKTTATGAGCTGCCATCCATCTG